AAAGCTTTTAGGTCTATTCTGGCCCCGCATTTAGTAGAGATTTTGAACAGCTGCCTCGTTTAGGAGACTCTTAACCCTTCCATGAGGCACTCAGCTGTGATTCTTCTGTCAAAAGGTAAGGATCCTTCGATGATTGAGAATTGGCGCCCCATCAGCCTTTTCAATGTTGATAGAAAAGTGCTGGCGCAGATACTTTTCTGGCACTTATCGTCAGTAGCAGTCTTTGCTTTCTCGCCATCAGCACTGTTCGGTCAAAGATTGGAGCACCTTCACAGTGGTGTTAGCTGTCCGGGTGAGGCCCTGGAGCACTGCAGGGCTGCAGGCTGGGGTAAGTATTTGCTGGCATTGGATCAGGCAAAGGTTTTTGGTCGTGTCAACCATGAGTACCTGTGGCTGCTCCTTAGTAAGTGTGGTCTGCCAGTTGGCTTTGTCAATTGGTTGAAAGTCTTGTATAAGGAGCCAGAAAGCTTCCCTTATTAATGGTTGGGTTGGGCAGTCCTTTGAGGTTGGCTCTGGGGTGCATCAGGGTTGTCCCCTGAATCCATTGCTCTATGTGTTTGCAATCGACCCATTCATCAGGAGGCTAGAGAGTGGCCTTTTGTGTGGGGTACCAACGGGGCTCCCGGGTGAGCCACCTTTGAGGGTTGTTGCCTATGTGGACGATGTATCAGTGATTGTCACTGGGACAAATGAAGCAGAGGAGGTGGTCTCTCTGATCTTGGAGCCTGATGCTTCAGAGTACCATGATGTCAATCAGGATAAGAGTAAAGTTGTCTGGATGGGAAAGGAGGTGAGGTGTTTGATCTGCCGGACGCCTTTCCAATGCCCAAGGAAAAAATTAAGATACTAGGCATTGAATTCGGACCCGGCGATTATGGCCTTAAAAAATGGGAAGGCAGGCTGGAAGTTGCCAATACTAGGATGATCAGCTGGAAGAGATGGAAGCTATCTCTAAGGAAAAGGTTTGATTTGATTAAGACTTACCTGATTCCAATCTTCTTGTATGTCAGCTTTGTCTGCATTTTGCCAGTGTCTCTCTATGCTAGGGTCTCTAGTGTGTTCTTCCAGATGCTTTAGCGGAACAGACTGAACCTCATCAAGAGGAATGTCACCTATCTGTCCAGGAGGGAGGGAGGCTTAGGTATGGTCAACCCAGTTCATTTCTTTTCACTGCTTTTTCTCAAGTTTAACATTGGTAATATGCTTACAGTGGAACCTCCTGGATGGGCAAGCACGTTTAGATCTTGTCCACCTTCTCCCAAAGTCGTAGAAAAGGCATAAACCAAGTAAAGAATCTCAGAGGTCATAGGGGTTAGCTTCCAGCCTATGTCTCTCCGTGCTTGAAGTTGTTGCAGCAGTCCATATGAGCCGGGTCTTGAGCAAAGTCTTTCATGATTCACTGGCCTTAAGGGATTGCCCAGGTGAAATTATGAGGGAAGGGTTAAGGCTGATTCATTTGGATAGAATCCCCCTTAAATGTAGGGATCTGGCCTGGCTGTGCTTCCATAGGAGGCTCTATGTTTGGGGCAATTTGAAATATCGCAGTGAGATGGATTGCAGTTGTCCTCAGGAGGAGTGTGCAGGTGAAGAGGAGACTATGGACCATTTTCTGCTTCATTGCCCTTTTAACATAGAGGTATACAAACAGGCGTGGCAGGTCCTTTGTGTTCTTTTCCTCTCTAGGCTGGGTTATGCTGAGTGGGCATACGGAACATTCAACAGTGGTGGGGTTTTTTGTTCGGACACACCTCTTTTAGTTAGCCTAGTAGTCTGTTTATTTCACCTGGAACGCACAGTGTCAGGTCACCACTCGGCATAAAATCCTTCTTGTTCAGGTGTGGGTGTGTGACATTTTGCATGAGGTGGGAAGATTCGGGGCTTGAGCAAGTGGGGTCAGGGGCTTGGTTAAAGGCCAGGAGATGTTTCAAGCCCCCCTGACTACCAGGAGTCCCTTTCTGGGGTGTGGCTGTCTGTCTCTTATCGCCTTAGTTTTGGCTGCATACATAGGTGATGGGTTGTGCCTCTTAGGCACTCTCTGCTGTTTTATGTAAATGGTTTTCAATAGTCTGAAAATTTTGGTAGTAAACTATGTATATATTGTATATATTCTGGATATGGATGTACATTCCTATTGTTTTCTGTTGTATGACCTTATTATTATGTTTTTTCCTTTTGTATAAAATTCTGTTGCTTGATTATTTTCAATAAAAGATCAATAATGCCCCACCATTGGTGTCAGGGTGGGAAGAATAGTGCCCCATCACTGGTGTCAGTGGGAGGAAAAGTGCCCCATCATTGGTGTCAGTGGGAGGAAAAGTGCCCCATCATTGGTGTCAGTTGGAGGAATAGTGTCCCATCATTGGTGTCAGTGGGAATAGTACCCCATCATTGGTGTCAGTTGGAGGAATAGTGCCCCATCATTGGTGTCAGTGGGAATAGTACCCCATCATTGGTGTCAGTGGGAGGAATAGTGTCCCATCCTTAGTTTCAGTGGGAGGATAGTGCCCCATCATTGGTGTAAATGACACCAATGATGGGGGCACTATTCCACTCACACTGATACTAATGATGGGGCACTTTTACTCCCACTGACACCAATGATGCTTACGTTGCTGACCCCCCTGCTCCAGCCCTGGCTCCCTCCCTCTGCCATCCATAGCCAGCATACCTGGCTGCAGCAGCACCATCTGCTCTGCCCAGATCCCGGCCGCACAGCACAGACACTTACCTTACTGATCAGCTGTCTTCCTTCTCCAGCCGCTCTCCCCTCCTCTTTCACTCCAATCAGCTTCCTCAATCCTCTTGCTGCCGTTCAGCTCCTCTTCTCTGCCTGTGTGCTTTCCCTGAGCTACAGATCCAGCGGCCAATCACTGGTGAGGAGACGGACCTTGCAGAAGGAGGTACAGGCTGCCATAGGCCACCCACTGAGCCCCGGGGGTGTGGCCAGCATGTCATCCCATCCACATCCAAGAACCAGGTAAATGAAGACACCAGACAACCTCCTCTACCCCCTCCTCCAGCAGCGCCTCGTGGATCAGATCGAAGTTGGACATGGAGTCACGGACACAGATAAGACACATAGCAGCAGCCCCTGTCCTAATTGTCCCTTCCGTGGAAAAGGGGGAGTTCGGCGCCACCCCCCTGAAAAGTGCCGCCCTGGGCAAATGCCTTTCCTCCTTCCCCACAAGTGTACACCAGTGTTTCCAACTATATTTATATTAAGAATTAAAACAAAAAAAATGACATCTTTGCTCTTTTATGTAAATGTCAATGGATGGGAACAGGTGTTATTAAAAAATCCACCCCCCCGTGTTGTTAAATGCATCGAATGCACAAAACTTCCTGAAAGGTTACGGTGTTTTACCATCAATAACACCCCAAATTCATTTTTTCTGCAGCTGTTTCACTGATGAAAATATTTAACTTTTTTTGGTAGGTAACATCCTGGGTTCTGCAAAAATATGTTTGTTGATTTATGGTGAGCTGACCCCAATCATTAATTGGACTGCTGTTTCCCAACGATAAAAATGTTAAATTGTTTAGGACTGACTGCTACATTGGTTATATTTTTGTTTGCATTTCCTTCATTCTGTTTTCAGCATCATTCTTCTCAGTTTGATTTGTCATATTGATCTTTTGACTCTACTTAAATATACTTGCATGATCCAGAATAATTTTGAATACACGCTATATAAGGTAGTGTGGCCTAACAGTGATTTATTAAATAGAAACCCCCTATTCTCATTCCCTAACTTAGAATTTTGGGGCTAAAAATATACTTTACATTTTGGCAACTAATTTGTTTTCCCCTGACAAAGAGGGCTATACCATTGAAATGCATTGGTAAGTAGGACAGCACAAGCATTTTCAGTCCAGTTGCCTAGGGAGCAAGCCTCTGAAGAGGAAACCTTGTGACACTGCATATTTAATCCTTATTCTTTCAAAACTACATCTGATCAGTATTTTAATCTTTTTTTTTTAATGGCATAGTGATACCATCCAAGGAACGAGAATTTTGTCCTTTTTTTATTAGAACAACTTTCTCAATAAATTCTTGGTAGATACAGGCTCAGGCAAGAGCTGAGCAGTGAATGTTACCTGGAGAAAACAGAAATGTGTGGCTACACACTGCCATGAAATACAGAGACACATTGCAGACCTCATCTGCATTTTGATATAAGGATTGCCTGTTTCTACTATAAAGAGGAGTTACATTCCTGGGATTTCTTGCATCCAGATAATCTTTAAACCGATGCATAAATAGGAAAATCCATACAATTTTGCAAAAAAGTTTTTTTATCTTTATCCTAGATGACAAGCAATTGAGCTGCAAGTTTTAAAATGACTTGCTAAGCTATTGCTAGACTTGCCAGGCTTCACGAGGTTGTTGCCCAACTGCAAAATGTCTGCATTGCATGACTTCAGATCAACTTTCTTTGCAAACATTCGTTGCAAGTCTGCTGCAAGTTCTGGTTTCAGTTATCCTACAAATTTTGTCAACTAGAACTTGTGCTTCAAGTGCTCTGCAAATGTACAATTTGCCAATGAAAATGTGCAGCAAGTTAACAAGACTTACAATTCAACATTGCCACTAGAGATGAGCGAATTATTCAAAAATTCGGTTTCGGGCTGATTCGCCGAATTCGCCGAATAAATTCCGCTTCGAGCCGAATATATTCGCTGCGAATTTAACTTTATAAAAAGGGTGTTTCTAGGCTTCAGAGAGCCTTTATATTAGTGCAGAACACTGTACCTTTAATTTAAATGCCCTTGGAGTCTGCTGGGGAAGAGAAAATAATACTGTCAGTCCATATGACATGCAGATGAGTGCCGTCGATCTTAGAAATCACCGCACACTTCACTCATTTGGGCAGTCACGGGGCCAAAACCAGAGTGTGGAGCCACAGTGATTGGCGTGGAGGGCAGCAGCAATGGATGCCATACAGCACCCTATGACAAAATGGAACCCACCAGCAGTGTGAGGAGACCTGAAAGTGCACATGGCAGAGTGTGGCGATGGAGACAGCAGCAATGGGAAGGCCGTACAGGGACCCCATGACACACTCCTGGACCTGGCAGCAGCATGAGGAGGCGGTGACAGGGGCCCATGACAGATTACGGGCCTGGCAGCAGCATGAGGAGTCGGTACGGGGGCCCATGGCAGATTACGGGCCTGGCAGCAGCATGAGGAGGCAGTACAGGGGCCCATGAGCAGAGTGGCGGAGCGTAAGCAGCTAAAATTGAGGCCATACAGAGGCCTATGTTAAAAAGTCCCCCCAGCAGCAGCGTGGGGAGACGACTATCAAAGAGTCCAATGGCAGAGTGGCGGAGCCAGAAGCAGCTTCAATTGAAGGCCATACACAGGCCTAGGTTTAAAAAGTCCCTCACAGTTAATTCCAATAACGAACTCTACTCCTCGTGCAATCTACTTACGAGACCCTGGGCAGGTCTGGGTCCAATTTGTGGTAGAGACTGGTTTTGTTCAGCCATGCTTGAGCGAGTAATAACAGGTCTGTGCTGCCCTTTGGTGTCTGGCTTAAAATGCGCACAACACTGAACGTCCGCAGCGTTTGTCAACGATTTGGCCGTTAAGTGATGCAAACCCGCTGAACCACGTCATGAGGAGCCGGTTACAGGGGCCATGAATCCAGTATGGACCTGGCAGCAGCGTGAGCAGATGACAGAGGCACATGGCGCAGGGTGGCGGTGTAGGCAGCATTATTCTGAAGCCATACACAGGCCTAGGTTAAAAAGCGGAAGCCGTCAGCAGCGTGAGCAGACGACAGAGACACATGGCGCAGGGTGGCGGTGGATGCAGCAGTATTCGGAAGCCAAACACAGGCCTCGGTTAAAAAGCGGAAGCCGTCAGCAGCGTGAGCAGACGACAGAGGCACATGGCGCAGGGTGGCGGTGGAGGCAGCAGCAATGGAAGGCCATACAGCACCCTATCACAAAATGGAACCCACCAACAGTGTAAGGAGACCTGAAAGTGGACACATGGCAGAGTCTGGCGATGAAGTCAGCAGCAATGGGAGGCCGTACAGGGACCCATGACACACTCTGGACCTGCCAGCAGCAAGAGGAGGCGGTACAGGGGGCCCATGCAGAGTGGCGAAGCGTAAGCAGCTTAAATTGAAGGCCATACAGAGGCCTATGTTAAAAAGTCCCCCCAGCAGCAGTGTGGGGAGACAACTATCAAGAGTCCAATGGCAGAGTGGCGGAGCAGAAGCAGCTTCAATTGAAAGCCATACACAGGCCTAGGTTAAAAAGTCCCCCCAGCAGCAGCGTGGGGAGACGACTATCAAGAGTCCAATGGCAGAGTGGCGGAGCAGAAGCAGCTTCAATTGAAGGCCATACACAGGCCTAGGTTTAAAAAGTCCCCCAGCAGCAGTGTGGGGAGACGACTATCAAGAGTCCAATGGCTGAGTGGCGATCCGGAAGTCAGCGTTGTGATTGCAGATGCAATGCAGAGATTCTATGAGGTGATGTCGTGGGTGCGAAGAAGATCATATACCGTCGTACTTCCATCCATAAGACGGAACAACCTGCGAACCGGGAGCTTTATTGCCCTGACCCCCGCTGAGCAGCTTCTGGGATACCCAAGAGTTTGGCTTCTGTGGGGAATATGGTTGGAGAAAACTGAAACTTAAAGGCATGTTGACGGAAGGGCACCAGTGTCAGTGCTCCGGAGGGAATATAGCTTCAAAGCTGACACTTAAAGGTATATCGACGGTCAGAGACCACAGGAAGTGGAGCTTGCGTCTTACAAATCGACTGAATGTGGCAGACATGAAACGTCTACGGGCCGTATATGAAACGGGTTGTTCCTCTTTCTGGAATAAGTGTTGGAAATGGCCACTCTTTTTGGGTGTGGCGTTTTGTCTATTAATTCCGATAACGGACTCTACTCCTCCGTGCAATCTAGTTACGAGACCCTGGGCAGGTCTGGTCCAATTTGTGGTAGAGACTGGTTTGTATCAGCCCATGCTTGAGCGAGTAATAACAGGTCTGTGCTGCCCTTTGGTGTCTGGCTTAATGCGCACAAACACTGAACGTCCCAGCATTTGTCAACGATTTGCCGTTAAGTGATGCAACACCCGCTGAACCACGTTCATGAGGAGCCGGTACAGGGGGCCATGAATCAGTATGGACCTGGCAGCAGTGTGAGAGAGACCCGAAAGTGGCACATGGCGCAGGGTAGCGGTGGAGGCAGCAGTATTCGGAAGACATACACAGGACTAGTTTAAAAAGCGGAAGCCGTCAGCAGCGTGAGCAGACGACAGAGGCACATGGCGCAGGGTGGCGGTGGAGCAGCAGTATTCGGAAGCCATACACAGGCTAGGTTTAAAACTGGAAACCAGCAGCGTGAGCAGCACGACAAAGACGCACATGGCAGAGGATGGATCTGGCAGCAGTATGAGAAGGCGGTACAGGGCCCGTGGCACAGTGTGGTGATGGGGGCTACAGCAACTGGATGCCAGAAAGTGGCCTATAGGGCTATATACTGCATGGAATTATAAAGTTGTAAAGGGACAGCGGCCTCAATTAAGGCTATACACACTATAACAATCATGACTTGATTGACCATTGGCCTATAAGGCTATACACAGCATGAATATCATGACTTATTCTGAGAGTGGGTTTGGAAGGGCTATATACAAAAAGTAATCATTAGCTGTCCGGACAGCGGACAATAAGTACATATATACAAATCAATTCATCAGCTGTCCAGCCAGCTGGCCTCAAGAGGGCGACGCATATAGAAAGCAATTCATGAGCTGTTCAGACAGCGGCCTCTAAGGCGACAGATATACAAAGCAATTCCCGAGGTGTTCAGGAGCGGCCTGAATGGCTAGGTTATTACTAAATATATTTTTTATGGCCAAACATCGGCCTATAAATAGATGTCTACACAGTGACAAAAAAATTATGTCGCCAGACAGCGGCCCCTAAGGCGACAGATATACAAAGCAATTCCCGAGGTGTTCAGTGAGCGGCTTTGAACCGGCTAGGTTATTACTAAATATATCTTTCTGGCCAAACATCGACCTATAAATAGATGTCTACACAGTGACAAAAAAGTAGGTCGCCTTACAGCGGCGTATCCTACAAATTGACATTATAAGAAATGGTTTTAGACCAACCAACAAAAAAAAAAAAAAAAACTTTGATGCGATGCTATAACCTTAGTAGATTGTGGAAAGTCGACAAGTCAAGCGTAACTGTGTACATTACATAAAATCTTAACAAGACAACCAAACATGTGGCCAAACCGTGAGCCGATACAACAAGTTAACAATGTAAGAAACAGGAGGGGGCCAAACCGTGGCCAATAAATAAACAGTCCACCTCATTGATGAGATGGACAACACGTGGTCAAATAAATATTTAAAAAAAATTGCTATTCCAATCGGTCTGGAACTGGTCCGACTATAAATAATTAAAAAGTTTAAATTCATGTGACAGTTGTCCAGCGACGTATAAATAATTTAAAAACACCAATTCATGAGGGGCCCGACCAGCAGGTATAAGTCATTAAAAAGGTTCAATTTCATGTGACGGTCGTCCAGCGAAGTATAAATAATTAAAAACCCAATTCATGAGGGGCTCAGACCTGCAGAGTATAAGTCTATTAAAAATGTGCAAAACATGAGTCGGCGACCAGCAGCCTCTCAATATAAAATATATATACAAATGTACGGATCAGGTGGAGGTCTTCCATTTGTCCCTAATAACATGTTTGGGGCATGATTCATGGCGAATTTAGTCAGTTGTGTCAGGAAACTGGTGGTTGAAATCCAGACTACATCCACGCCTGATTCATTTTCACAAACGTGAAGTCTCTCCACACTTTGGGTGGACAGTCGTGTCCTCCGCGGAGTTACAATACAGCTCTGCTGCACTAAACACGCGCTCCGATGGCCACGCTTTACTGGTCGCGGGCATGCCCAGCCTTTCAACGGCCAAATTCAGCTTAGTTGAGGGACAAAGAGGGTCAAGTTTTCGTTGCCCAAGTAGTCAAGGGGGATTGTCTACCTCGGTTGGCAGGGTTGCTGTCCAAGTAGGCCTCCAAGCCTGTTGTTTGAGGTCTCTGCTCCAAGGTTCCGCCTGATGCTGCTGCGGACTGGTTAGTAGTTTCCTCAACTGCGTCTGGTGAAGGAAAGCTACTCATCATCGGACTGCAGATGAGCCTAGCCGCTGTTAGGGCTGGAGTGCCACTGGCTCCTACCACCCCCACCCCTCCCTGCTGCCATGCAGGCGGAACGCGAGCGCACAGGACCCACAGTGTCCTGAGGATGGACGTTGGGCGCAGAAAGTCAGAGGACCAACTGACATACATAAGGTGGTTTTTTATAGTACTTTATTTTGGCCTCCCTCTCAGCAGGTGTGAAAAAAACAAAGGCCACATTTTTGAACGGTAGCGAGGGGGGTCAACAGGTGGACAGCCAAAAAAGTCAATCCCTCTGTTTGTTGGTTATTATTCGAGCTGTCGTCGCTTACGCAAGCATAATCCGAGCATTGCTATGGGCCATTTGGGCTCAAGGATATGCGAGGGACTCCCTGCCTCCATTCTCCACAGCATACTGCATGGTGCGTCTGGGTCCTCTGTCTCTCTCCTCCTATTACCAGATGCTCCTGCTCTCCACTCCTGTCCGCTGAGTTTAAAAACCACCCATTTCACTAATACATTCCTGAGCCACCAATGTCTCCCCTTTACCTCCTCTCCTTCTTCCTGTCCTGCCCCGGTTCCTCAGGGGTCATACGTGGGTTGATGATCTGTGCGCCACGTCTTACAGACCCTGACCAGCATTGTTAACAGCAGTTGTTCCAGGAGTGAAACAGGGAATGATGTCGTTCATCCCATAGTTCCTGCCTGACTCCGATAGCGTGGCCTCCTGCAAAGGGCCTGAAGCAAGCGGCAGGTGTCACGCATGAGGCTGCAATGGCTGTCAATCTAAGTTACATAGGGGGAGGGACCTTTATCGCTTTGTAACTCAGGAAACGGTGATGGCCCTTTTGCTGTTCGTTTAAAAGGGGGGGTCTAACATATTGGGAGGGTTGGGAAATTTCCCCCTTGTTTTCAACGTCGCAGGGTCAGGCAATTTCTGGGAAATTCCGTTTTTGCCACTGCAGGTCAAGGAAAGGGGTTTCTTTGCGGTTTTTAGGAATGGCTGAAATTTCAAAGCAAAGGGTTTTCGTGACCCCTTTTTAAGGAAAGTCTTGCAGTGGGATGGTGGATTTTAGGGAACCCCTTTACAAACCCGATTTTAAAAACGGTTTAGCCATGATGGCGCCCTGGCACAACCCCTTTCCCGAAGCAGAGCAGGGCCCCAAGGGTTTTTTCCGTTTTTCGGTCAAAATGGTTCCCAAATTTTCAGTTTGCGCGGGGACCCGCCCTTTTGTTTGATTTCTTTTGGGTTTATTTCACTGAGAAGTTCCTTCCCCGTGTTTACTTTTTTTCGCCAAGGCATACCAGGTGCGCACAGCGTGGGCACCCTTGCCCCTGGCCCCATGTGATTTGCCCGGGGGGGTTTAAAGGGGGCTTGGCACGGGGGGTGGGGCTTTTGGGGACACGGGGGGAAAAAAGAGGTGGTAGGGCGGACATCTTTGCTGGAACCAAAAGGGCGTGCAAAAAGTTGGGTTTTACCTGTCCAAGGGGTTTCTGGTGGGCTGTGGCCGGCACCACGTTCACCCCAGTGGGCCCTTTAAAAGACATGTACTGTTTCCCCGGGCCGTAGTTACCCGCTCCACATGTCGGCGGCCCTTTCCCCCGCACTTTGGCAGAGACCCACATGTAAAGACTGGGGCCCAAACCCTCTCTTTTTTACATTTTGAATGCAGGGTTGGGGACTGCCTTTTTTGGGGAAGAAAAGCCCGGCCCTTGGGAAAAATCCAAAGGGGGCTCGGCACAAACCATTTTTCTCGGGGAAAAGGGGCTGAGTCCCCCCTTTTGGGAAAAGGGGGGGAAGGGAGCACCAGCAAAATTGGACAGGAGGACGTTCAGCTTCTGCCCGTCGGGGTGCGTGCTCGCAAATGTTGGGCTCTTGGAAAAGGATTCCCAAAAAAGGGCTGCTGACGGAATCCGGGGAAGGGAGTAAAGGGAGAAGGAGCTTTTAACGGGGGAAGAGGCCCAAAGAGTGGGAAAATCCCCCCCAGCAGAGGTGTTGGAGCCTTGAAGGCTGAAAAGAGGGCGGAAAGGGGGCGGGGGGGACGGAAAAAAGTAACGGAGGGGGGTGATGGAGCGGGGGGTGGGGCAGGGAGAACCGCTGTTTTCTTTATCTCGGTTTTCCCCGGCCACCGAATGGGGACGCTGCTTTGCGACCAACGCTTTTTAGTCCCAACCCTGGGGCCCCCTGGCCAGCTTTACTTTCTGGCCACATAGTCAACTTTTTGGGTTTCGTTTTTCTTCCTCGGGCGGCCCTTTAGAAAAATTGGGCCCCACCGGCCCCGGTTAAGGGAAAATTTTTCC